ACCGGTCTGTATGTGGGATCCGAACCCTCGGCGGGAGCGCCGCCGCGCTTCCCAAGCGGCGCACTATCCAGTGCGCCACCGGGCCAGCCCTAAAGGAAGGAGATTCTGACACATCCTACAACGTAGATGAATCTTGAAGACATTATGCTAAGTGACATGTCAGTCACAAAAAGACAGATACTGTATGATTCCACTTATATGAGGTACCCATAGTAGCCAGAGACAAAGGGTGGAATGGGGGTTGCCAGGGGCTCAGGGGAGGGAGGAGTGGGGAGTTATTGTTTAATGGGTACTGAATTTGGGAAGGTGAAAATTTTCTGGAGATGGTAAGTGATGATGGTAGCACAATGTGGATGTATTTAAGGCCACTGAACTGTACACTTAAAAATGGTTAAAATGGTAAGTTTTATGTTACATATATTTTGCCACAATAAAAGTTTTAAAATAAAGGGACTGGTAGTTTGGGGAATGGGGAGGAGGACCGTAGATTTAGGGCATAGCTCTTGGATTACAGATGAGGTGGCTACAGCCCCGAGAGCAGAAGGGCCTGGCCAAGCTCGCTCCAAGTCAACAGCCCAGCTGGCCCAGAACCCAGGTGGACCGGTCCCCAGCACAGCATTCACCTGTCATAGATGTCAAGGACGTGTCTGGTTCCATGACCCAGATGCACAGAGCAGGGGACACAAGTGGTGGCAACACTGGCTCTCAGGAAGGAAGAGGCAGGGCCCTCAATTGCCACCGTGCACCTGTTGGCCACCAGCTGGTGCTACTCCCAACAGCTGACCTTTGTGTCTGTTGCAGATTGCCTCCCTGCTCAAAGACAATGAGCGCATCCAGTCCACCCAGACTGTCACCCCCAACGATGAAGACAGTGACATCAAGAAAATCAAGAAGGTCTGTACCATTCCTCTGGGAAGCCCACTTTACAGCTTTCTCTTTAGAGAGCCAGCCCAGGGTCAGCAGTGTCCACGTACTGCCCACGGCCCCCAGAGCATAACACCCACTTGCCCACCCACCTCAGCTCCAAAAACAGAACCAACAGCCCCTTCCCTCTGAACGGCACCCTGTCAGGCCATTTCCTCTGGTTATGCCTGTGAGCTAGGGTGGTTCAGCCCCATTCTATAGATAAGGAAACTGAGGTTCTCTAGAAGAAGGAGTGGGTAGAGCCAGGACAGGAGCCCAGGCCCTGGGACCCTCCTCTGAGAGCTTCCCTCAGTGCCATGCAGCCTCACCAAGACCCCCAACCCCGTCTCCACCATCATTCCCTTACATGCCTGCCTCCCCCGTCATGCACACACCACCTTGCACAACTGCCCTTAAGTCCCCAGCAGGCCTCAGCATGGGAGCCCAGCCTTTATAAGACCCCACTACCTTTACCCTATTAGAGTTCAGAAGGGGCAGACATCTCAGATCTGCCCAGTACCTAGCATAGTGACAGTGCCATGGCCACCTTGGCAGCATGGTTTGTGTTTGCAGCTTGCCAGGCCCAAGGCAGAGGATCCTGACTCATGCTGAGAAAAACCAGTGAAACCAGAGAATCCTATTTTTTGCGAGCACAAAAGGACCTTGATGCCATCCATACTAGAAACTGCAAACTCGCATCCCCTAGGCCAAGTTCAGCCTGCCAGTGTGTTTGAGGTTTTCAGCCACGGTTTTTTGTGTATGTTTTTTTCTTTTAATTTGTTGCCAGTGCTTTAAAAGCTAAACATTTCACACAAAAATCTGGATTTCTGGTTTCTCAAAAATAGAAGTAGCTAACATTCTTTAACCACCTTCTATGTGCCAGACGCTATTCTAGGAACTTTACACAGATTAATTTGATGCTCACTAAAGTCCTCTGAGGTTTTATTATTATTTCCATTTCACTTATGGGGAAGCTGAGACACAGAAAGGCAAAGTAACTTGCCTAAGTTCACATAGCTGAGTATTTGCTGAGTGACATTCAAACCCTGGCTGCACAGCTCCAGAGCCCATGCCCTGGTCCCTGGGAAACACCACCTCCTGGAAAAGCGGAAAGCCCAGCAGCCCCTGGCCACCTCCTGTCCCATATGCACATGGTGACAGTTGGCCCCAGGCAGGGGGTGCTGCCCTCTGCATCCCCACCCAGCCAGTTTCATGCATCTATAGAACCTTTCAGGCCATCCCAGGCATTGGGATTTGCCACCCACGTCTGAGCCAAGTCCCACCCAGCAGGGACATCCTGGCCTGTCTTCTCTGCTGGGACCCACTGAACCTCCCACCACCCTCCATTTTGAGCAGCCACTCTGATTGGAACATTTTGTTCAAGGCCAACTGAAATCCACCTCCCATGGTTCTATTTTCACCCTCCTGGAGCCTCAGAGTAAGCCCCTCCTTCTTGGAGAAAGCCCTTCCTCTCTTCAGAGGTAGCTCTTGGGGCTCGGGTCAGGTCTTACTCCACGCACACATCCTCGCCAGCAGATCTGCAACTGGACGGCTGTATTTGCATGACCTCAGACCCCTCCCCACCCCCACAGCACCAGCCAGTGCCCTTGCTCCGACTGTCCCGTGTCCCTCCCTCTGCAGACCATGAGCTTGCACACAGCTCAGGAGCAGGAATGGGAGTGAGGTGGCCCCTTGAGTGGAAGCCTGTGCAGCTTAAAACGATCTGTGTGTGTGTGAATCGAGGCCCTTCCATGTTCTTGCCAGTACGAGGCCACTCTATGCAGCCCGGCGGCAAGACAGCTAAGCTGAGTGTCTGCTTTCATTTCCCCACTGAGTCAGGAGGAGAAGCTCCAGGCAGGCGCCAGGACTCAGAAGCCCCTGATGAGGCTCAAGCATGAGATTAACTAATTTTCCCTGCTCTGTTCAATTTGATAATCACCCTCTATCCAGACGAGCTTTAATTGAAATTTTTGGGCTTTCAGGCAGATCGTTAGACAAGACAAGGTGTGAGCTGTGCCCAGCACAGCCTGGCAACCTCTACTCTCAAGCCACCTCCCATTTAGGAAACTTGGGGCCACAGTTTTCTGCCTTCGGTACATGCTTCTAGAACCAGCCAGGGAGCTTGTGAAAATGCAGAAGTCTGGGGGAAGGACCTGAGAGTCTGCATTTCTAACAAGCTCTCCAGAGATGTTGATCCGTGGGCCATACTTTTGAGTGCAGCCATCATCTCATTAGCCCCATTTAACAGATGAGAAAATTGGCTTAGAGGCACCACACAACGTGCCTGGCATCAGGGTGAGAGTCTGCATTTCTAACAAGCTCTCCAGAGATGTTGATCCGTGGGCCATACTTTTGAGTCCAGCCATCATCTCATTAGCCCCATTTAACAGATGAGAAAATTGGCTTAGAGGCACCACACAACGTGCCTGGCATCAGGCAGGCGGCAGAGCCAGGCCTGGTCCACACGTGAGCTCTTTGCACTATCGCCCAGCATGGCGGGTGGATGACAAAGCCTTGGTCCCTGCCCTTGGGGTACTCACAGCCTGAAAGGACGGGAGGGGCCGAGGCCGTCCCCCAGCAGCCGGTCCCCCAGCAGCCCGTCCCCCAGCAGCCCGTGCGGCTGGTCTCGATGCGCAGGTGCAGAGCTTCCTGCGGGGCTGGCTGTGCCGGCGGAAGTGGAAGACCATCATCCAGGACTACATCCGGTCGCCGCACGCCGACAGCATGCGCAAGCGGAACCAGGTGGTGTTCAGCATGCTGGAGGCCGAGGCCGAGTACGTGCAGCAGCTTCACATCCTCGTCAACAACTTCCTGCGCCCGCTGCGGATGGCCGCCAGCTCCAAGAAGCCTCCCATCACGCACGACGACGTCAGCAGCATCTTCCTGAACAGGTGAGCGGGGCTCTGAGGCCCTCGTCTAGTTTCCGCCAAGTGCAGATGAGGACACTGAGGCCCAGAGAAGAAGGACGTTGCCCAGGGTCACGTGGCTAGAAGCCGCCCCAGCAACTGCGGGGCCTGGGGCAGGAGGACAAATGGGGGCCCACATAGCATAGGTCTAAACCAGTGGCTCTTCACGGGGGCACTTCTGGCCCCCCAGGGACACTAGCAGTGTTTGGACAGACTTTTGATGGTTGAATTCGGGGAGGTTGCTACTGGCATCTAGTGGGCGGAGGCCCGGGATGTTGCTAAACATCCCACAGTGTACAGGACAGGACCCCCCAACAGGGAATTATTCCACCCCAAATCTCAATAGTGCCACAGGTGAGAAACCCTGTTTTCAACATTTAAGAGTTATAAATCGAGGTAAAAAAAAAAAGTCAGGGGCTGGCCCGGTGGCGCACTGCTACAGTGCGCTGCTTGGGAGCGCACGCGGCGCTCCCGCCGAGGGTTCGGATCCCACATACAGACCGGTTCCCGCTCACTGGCTGAGCAAGGTGCAGGCGCAGCACCGAGGGTTGCGATCCGTTGCCGGACACGAAAAAAGACAAAAAAGGAAAAAAAAAAAGTTAAATAAAATATGCTCTATCTTGATACTGTTATAATGACCTGGAGAACAGTTTCAAGTTTAGAATTCTTAGGCTCCTTAGAGTTCTGCTCTGTGCCACGCTACCCACATGCCTTTGAAAAACAGTCACTTTTCCCAGATGGTGGCTCAGGGCATTAATATGAGATTTGTGGTACTTTAGAAGGCCTGAGCTATGGGCTGCTCCTCTGCTGTCAACCTCTTTTTAAAAGGATTGTCTTACGAAATGGTTTAAATGAGCTTTTTGTGGACGATAAAACTGTGTAAACTAGATAAAAGCAACAGAAATGAAGACATATAAACAGAGTGTTATTTACAAATGGATTTCATCTAGGAATTAAAGTAAATCATGGTGTGCCCTTGCATGTTCATTCAGCTGCATTTCTTTTAAAATATTCATCATTCAGTCATTTCCTTAATCCCAACCTGCTCTGTGCTTGGGAATTCAGGACCCAGGGTCACCTGCCTGTGCCCTCCCCTTCCCCCTCTCTCTGCCAGTGTGGTGTGAGTTTGAGGGGCCAATTGGACACCCCTGAGGAGATGGGAGAGGCAGCAGGATGTGGGTCTGATGCCCAGGAGAAAGACTGGACTGAAGAAGCTGAAATCATTGGTGTGGGACGGGGTCGACACCATGGATATGGATGAGGCATGGGAGGCTGAAGAGGAAGAGAGAGAGACAGAAGAGGGGGCAGGATGAGGGGAGCAGCTTTTGGCCTCATGAGACCATCTAGAAGCTGAATCACTGGGCCTCCCAAGGTCGCTTTTTAATGTACATGTTGAACACAGTTTTTAGACATTAAATAAACGCTTTTATGCATTAACTAAAACAAAGAAAACGAATATTATCTTTTTGTGAAATCAAGTAATATTTACTCTCAGAAACTCCAGTTGGATTTTTTTAGACTCAGTGACCCAGAGTTTGGCTAAAAAATGTGGAGAATGTGTTTCTTCCTGAGTAAACTCTGGACAGCTCAACTGGGTTCTCAGATTCTCGAACAGGAGCCCATCTGTAGGTCTGGATGGAGCCCAGGGAAGTGCATTTCCAATAAGTCTGCAGGTGCTGCTGATGCTGCTGAAATAGGAAACTTGAGATAAACACGGGGGATTGCCTGTATTGGAATCTCGGCTTCAGGAAGCGTTGTTATATTTCTGTGTTGTCTGTACTTTTCTTGCATCTTAGGCCATGATTGCAAACTTTTGGTGACCATTTATCATCATCATTAAAAGATAGAAGTTTATTTATCTTTTGTAATTTTGTTATACTGCACTGATTGATCTTTAATGGAATTCTTTTAACCTGGAATCTTTGGTTAAGAGTATTCATGCCATTTGACAGCCTCTGTTCAAAAGTTGTTTGGAAAAAAACATCACAACATGATTTTATATTTTTTCCTTGAAGAACTAAATGGATCAGGTCAAATGCCTTTAACTGAGAACAAATGGGAGGGAGGAAGGGGGACTTTTGTCTTCTCATGAAGATGGTATTTTCCACAATGACCTTAAAAAGCAGATATGAGACCTCAAGATATACCTATGAGTCCGTTAGCAGGACGTATGGATAGATTTACCCAAGTTTGTTTTTCCTCTGCCTGTTGTCAATACAAGTCAGCGTGTATGGTAGGGACCCAGCAGTGATTAGGGGCAGAAGGAAGGGGTTGGCAGTGTCCCCACCAAAGGCAGGGGCACTCATCCACTCATTCATTGATCAAAGTGGCACACAGTGCCTGGCTGCCTGCTGGACCCACCATCAGGGACCGATAGTCAACAAAATGTTTACCTTGAAATGTGACAAGAACCACCAAAGAGGCTCCCTGGAGGAGGTGGTATCTGAGCTTGTTCTTAAAGGACATGGGAGAGTTTGCAAAGGAGGAAAGAACTTTCCAGGCAGAGAGAATAGCGTGTACAAAGGCCCCAAGTTGAGAATGGGACTTGATCCTGGAGGCAGGAAGGAGCCAGCAAACATTTCAAACAGAGAATGCCATGGTCAGGTCTGCTTCAGGAAGCTCAGCCCCTTTGCCATGTGGAGGGGGGAATTTTGAGAATGGGACTTGATCCTGGAGGCAGGAAGGAGCCAGCAAACATTTCAAACAGAGAATGTCATGGTCAGGTCTGCTTCAGGAAGCTCAGCCCCTTTGCCATGTGGAGGGGGGAATGGGAGGGGGAGAGTGGAGGCTAAGAGGTCAAGGAGGAAGCTAGTGAGTCTGGAGGGCCTAGCAGGCATGACTGCCTCGAACTCGCTGTCCCGTCCTGCCAGCCAGTGGCAAATGTATGTCTGAGAACCCTTTCCTGGTGCCTTGAGGGTGTTGGGTAACTGAAGGCTCATAGAACGAGAGGAGAAAGTACCAAAAAGTAATGAGCTCCCCATCATGGTAAGAATCCAGAGGGGTAACCCTTTGACAGATGACAAACATCAAAGAGGGTAGTTTAATGAGAAGCCGTGTAAGATCCTCATCTCTGAATTAGTGACACTGTGGATGTGATGTTTCTCAGGGCCTCCCGGGGCAGTGCCCACACCTGCCTGGAACAGGGACCAGTTGCTCCCTCCACAGTCCTGGGCCTGAGAAGCTGGCTTACAAATCTCCATCTCCCTAGATAACCTCTCATTTCATCCCAAGAACGCAGCTCTCGCTATGGATACAGAGTCCCTCTCTAACAACAGAACCCCCAGGCTTGGCTTGAATGGTCTGGGGAGAAGCTCTGCACAGGAAGGTGGCCACCACCGAGCCAGCTTCCCCCACTCTGTTGATGCCCTGCCCAGCCCCCACCAGGCCTGTTTCTCCTTCTGTACAATGGGCCCAAGGTCAGTTGTTGCGCATCTTAGTATAATCTCATTGATCTCAGTCAAAAGAGTGGCAGCCTGATCAGTTCTCAAGACCTTCGGAATATGGACTCTAGTTCCCGCTCACTGGCTGAGCGAGGTGCGGGTGCAGCACCGAGGGTTGCGATCCCATTGCCGGTCCCGGTCCGGTACGGGCGCGACACTGAGGGTTGCGATCCGTTGCCGGACACGAAAAAAGACAAAAAGGAAAAAAAAAAAAAAAGAATATGGACGGGTTGCGATCCGTTGCCGGACACGAGAAAAGACAAAAAGGAAAAAAAAAAAAAAAGAATATGGATTCTAGTGGTCATCAGAAAAGGCTGACCCAGGAATGTTACCTGCCTCTTACAGGTGTTGGAGGATCAAGTGAGAGAGTCTGTGTAAAGCATTTAGCACAAAGCCCAGCACCCCACATATCCCAAGTGCTTTGCAATAATGCACTTACAAGAAATGAAACTAAAATCTAATGTGGAGTGAACACTTCCCAACTCATTTTACAAAGTCAGCATTACCCTCGCATGAAAACCAAAGACATCATGAGAAAAGAAAAGTACAGGCTGTGAGGCAGGGGCACTCATCCACTCGCTCATTCAACAAATAGGACAAGTGACACACAGTGCCTGGCCTTTTATCCTTCATGAGCATAGATGCAAAATATTATCAGATTAAATCCATCAGCATATGAGGGTACTTCAGAAAGTTTGTGGAAAAATAGAATGAAAAGATAATACAAATCTTTCCATGAAGTTTTTGAAGGCCCCCCACATAAAAAGGGTGATATATCCTGACCAAGTGGCATTCATCCCAGAATGCAAGATTGGTTCACCATTGAGAACCAGTCAGTGGATTTACTGTGTTGTCTTACTGTATCAGGTAGGAAGACCCAATGGTCATAACAGTGGATGCAAGTCTGATGTGGATGGCTCCTGTACCCTGGCCTCTGTTCTGAAGCAGGGACAAGTCAGAGATCTTTCCTTCCCCAGGGGCTCAGGCATGGGGTGGGAAGAGCCAGCTAGAAAATGACTGCCCTGTGATCATCCTCACTTCAGTATATGGCCAGCTTGGTACAGCACAAGCTTCACTACCTTAACCTCTATGCTTTTTGTGAGCATAAAGAACAGCTGAAATTATATTCTTTGTTAACCTTAGAACAACCCCTCGCAGTACTTTGCAAGCCTGAATGTTCTGCACTACACCTCCCACACTCTGTGGGGCCTGCTTTGTACCAGGCTGTCTGTCAACACTTGGCCTGTGTCCTTGCTGATCCTCAGAGATGCCCCACAAGGCTGGAGCCAGGACTCAGAGAGGCAACAGATGTGCTCAGGGCACACAGCAAGTCCGGGGCAGGCTGAGATTTTAACCTATATCTGTCGCAAGTTAAGGCCCTTGCTGCCCCCTGCTGCCTTGTTAAATAATGGGCTGGAATCCTCTCCATTGACCCACATTCTCCTTCCCCCCATGTCCCCCGCCACCAGTTCATAAGGAGCATGCACCATTACAGCCCAGGTCTCGTCATGCACTCTCTGTCAAAGAACTTCCCCTGTGTGTGAC